CACGTGCAGCTACTACTGCTCCTGCTCCTGCTACTGCTACTGCTACTGCTCCTGCTTCTGCTACTACTGCTGCTACTGCTACTACTGCTACTGCTACTACCACTATGGCCAGTCCCACTGTACTCACCTTTGACGCTGAGGGCCGTCCGATTAAGTTCGATGTCTGGCTCGATGACCTTCACCTGTACCTCCAGATCACTGCCAAGGACGATGTTTCCCTCTATGACCACACGTCCGGCGCTGCTCCCGCACCTCCTGCTACTGCTGACAGTACTGCTCGCTCACAGTGGCAGACTCGTGACGCCCATGCTCGCCTAGTCGTTCGCAGCCACCTGCCGTTAGACGAGCGCGAGCACTTCGGCCAGCATAAGACCGCTAAGGAGCTTTACGATGCTGAGGTTGCCCGCTACTCCTCCCCTGCCACTGCTGCGATAGGCCGTCTCTCACTACCCTACCTCTTCCCCGATCTGTCTGCCTTTGCCACTGTAGCTGAACTCATCACTCACCTCCGTACTAGTGATCTCCGCTACCGTGCCGCACTCCCCCCCGATTTCCTAGCCAAGAACCCCCCCCCCCCCCCCCCGATGTACCTCACCCTCTACCACCTCGTCACTCGCCTCCCTGACTCTCTTCGCGCTGTCAGGGACCACTTTCTCGCTCTCTCCCCCACAGACCTCACTGTCGACCTGCTCGAGAAGGAACTCCTTGCAGCTGAGAAGAGCATTGTAGCTGTAGGTGCCTCTCGTGGCGACCCTCGCACTCCCTTCTTTGAGGGATGCTCCCCCTCCCCCCTTCTCCCCTCCATTGCATCTGCTGCTGCTGTCGACTACCTCGGTGCTGAGGGGGTCAGAGCTGCGTTCGCTCCCAGTGGGAGGCGCAAGGGCGGCAGGGGCAAGGGGGGCCGGGGTGGAGGAGGCGGCGGCGGGGGAGGTGGTGGTGGAGGGGGTGGAGGGGGCGGCGGCGGTGGCGGCAGTGGTGGGAGTGGTGCTGGTGGTGGGGGGGGCAGTGGCGGAGCCGGGGGTGCTGGAGGCGGCGGTGGTGGAGGTGGAGGTGGTGGTGGTGGCAGTGGTGGCGGCGGTGGAGCTGGTGGAGGGCGCGGTGGAGCGGTGCAGCGTGGCGGGTTCGGCGGCGGCCAGAGGCAGCAGCAGCAGCAGCGTCCCAGCGAGCCCCCGTCGCCCCAGCAGCTCCGTGAGTGGTACTCTCAGCGTGGGGGGTCTGGGGGTCGAGGTACCTGCCCGTACGTCATCCGCACAGGTGACCGCACTGGCCAGACTTGTGGGAAGTTTCACATGGCGCAGCGCTGTTTCTTTCGCCTCGACGACGCCTGGCGCGAGCAGTTCCGTGACGCCTCTGAGCTGCCACGCTGGGCTGATCTGCTTAGGAAGGGGATTGATATCTTTGCTCTTGATTATGATGCCATCCTTGCTGCTATGTATGCATTGACTATTAGTGTTGAGGGTGACTGTTACCTGAGTGTACCGCCCGACCCGGGTATTGGGACCAGTGAGGCTGCAGCTCTAGGTGCTAGCGCGTCTGTTGCTCTAGGTCCTGGTGAGGCTGCTGCCCTAGGTGCTAGTGCGTCTACGTCTGCTGGTACCGCACCTACTGAGGCACTGCACACCTTCACACTGGACTCAGGTGCTTCCCGCTGTTTCTTTCGCGACCGCACTGCCCTAGAGCAGCTTCCTAGACCGGTTGCTGTCTCCCTGGCTGACCCCTCAGGGGGTCCGGTCCTTGCGACCTCCACCACTGCCCTCCCTTGTCCTGCTGTCCCGTCTGGCACGCTGTTGGGCCTCTACCTCCCCTCGTTCTCTACGAACTTGGTGGCGGGTTCCGCGCTCCAGGACGCGGGTGTTCACCAGTTCACCCCTGCCTACGAGCGTGTGACGCACTGCACGTGTGCCCAGACGGGTTGTCACCTGGCTACCTTCACTCGGCAGCCGGGGTCGGACTTGTACACACTGACCACTGAGTCCCCTCAGGTAGCTGCGTCTGCGTCTGCGTCTGCGTCAGGTCAGCTGTCGGCCCCCTGCTCGTGTCGCTCCCTGTCACACAGGACTGTCCTCTGGCACCACCGCCTTGGTCACCCGTCAGTGCAGCGCCTTCGCGGCATGCACTCCAGGTACCTTGTCTCTGGTCTTCCCAAAGTTCTCCCTCCCCTGCCACCCTCGCCTGCTCCTCCCTGTCTTCCTTGTGTCGAGGGGCGGCAGCGCGCCGCTCCTCACTCTTCCTCGTTCCCTCCCACAGAGGCTCCCCTGCAGACTCTCCACCTGGACGTGTGGGGCCCCGCCCGCGTCCGGGGACAGGGCCACGAGCGGTACTTTCTGCTGGTCGTCGACGACTACACGCGCTACACCACGGTCTTCCCCTTGCGTACCAAGGGTGAGGTCCCTGATGTCTTCATCCCCTGGATCCGCGCTGCTCGTCTCCAGCTCCGCGAGCGGTTCCAGTCGGACTTTCCTGTCCTACGTCTGCACTCTGACAGAGGTGGTGAGTTTTCCTCTGACCTCTTGGCAGCCTACTGTGCGGAGCACGGCATCCGCCAGACGTTCAGTCTCCCGGCCTCTCCGCAGCAGAATGGGGTTGCTGAGCGCCGCATTGGTCTCGTCATGGAGGTTGCTCGTACCTCCATGATCCATGCGGTTGCCCCCCATTTCCTGTGGCCGTTTGCAGTGCAGTACGCCGCGCATCAGCTCAACCTCTGGCCCCGTGTCTCTGTTCCGGAGACCTCGCCTACCCTGCGTTGGACGGGGGAGGTTGGCGATGCGTCGGTGTTCCGCGTCTGGGGATGTCGAGCCTTTGTCCGCGATACGTCCGCGGACAAGCTCTCCTCCCGTGCCGTTCCCTGTGTCTTCCTTGGCTTTGTCCCTGACGCGCCTTGCTGGCAGTTTTACCACCCCACCTCGCGCCGTGTCTTCGCCTCTCAGGACGTCACCTTTGACGAGTCGGTACCCTTTTACCGTCTCTTCCCCTACCGCACTGCCCCGCTCCCCCCCCCACCGCTCTTCCTCACCCCAGGTGTCCCGTCGGTAGACCCCCTCCCTCCCCAGGGTGCTGCTCCCTCATGTGTTTCCCAGGTAGACCCGGTCGAGCCTGTCGAGGTAGCTGTTGACTCTGGTCCTGCGCGAGGTGCTGAGCGTGCTGAGCTTGGTGGTGCTGGGTCTGGGGGCACTGAGACTGGGGGTGCTGAGCCTGGGGTTGCGGAGACTGGGGGTGCTGAGTCTGGGGGTGCGGAGACTGCGGGTGCTGAGCCTGGAGGCGCTGCGACTGGGGGTGCCGAGCCTAGAGGAGCTGAGGCTGGGGGTTCTGAGACTGACCGTACTGTGCCTGTTGGCGCTCCCTCTTCGCGGCAGCTGCGTGAGTGGTACTCCCAGCGCTACAGCCTCCGTCGTGGGGCTACTGGAGCTGGGGGGTCTGCTCGAGTCGGGGCTGGTGGCCCTGCGGGTGCAGTGTCGCAGCCCGAGCCTCCCTCCCCTCAGCGGCTACGTGAGTGGTACGCTCGGCGCTGCAGCCTCAGGAGTGGAGCTCCTGGTGTTGAGGCACCGCCAGCTGGAGGCCCTGCTGCTACTGGAGGTCCTGGTGCTGCTGGAGGTGCTGCTGGTGCTACTGGAGGTCCTGGAGCTGCTGGAGGTGCTGCTGGTGCTGCTGGAGGTACTGGAGCGGCTGGAGGTGCTGCTGGTGCTGGTGGAGGTTCTGGAGCTGCTGGAGGTGCTGCTGGTGCTGTTGGAGGTCCTGGAGCTACTGGAGGTGCTGTTGGTGCCGCTAGAGGTACTGGAGCAGCTGGAGGTGCTGCTGGTGCTGCTGGAGGTTCTGGAGCTGCTGGAGGTGCTGCTGGTGTTGGTTCGGCTGGAGGTTCTGGTGCTGTCTCTGCTGCTTCTGGGGGCGCTTCACGGCCGCGACCGTACTTCGTTCCGCTCCTTCAGCAGGTTCTTGGTCCGCCACCTCCTCCTAGTCCTCCTCCCTCCTTAGAGTGTCCTCCGCCTGTTCAGTCGCAGTCACAGCTACCGCCTGCCTCGCCACTTCCTGGTCCTTCTCCCTACACTGGTCCGACAGGCGGTCTTACAGAGCGTCGTGAGCCTGAGTCTCGTCCTGTGTCGCCTGTGTCTCGTCCTGTGTCACCTGTTCGTGCTGCTCGCACTAGTCGCCGTGTTCCGCGTGAGCGTCCTCCACCTGTCCCTGGCACACACTATATGACTCTGCGTCCTTCCACTGCTCCACAGCGTGTCCCTCTGCCGTCTCCTCCTGCATCCTCTCTGTCGCGATATATATTTATATATGTTTATAACTGTCTGTAGCTTTAGCTTTAGTGTAGTTATGTTTCTTTGTTGTGGTGGTGCACCTCTTTGTTTCTTTGCTATATGTTCTTGCAAACCTATAGTGAAGACACACATTCTCGATTCTCCCTTGGCACAACTCCCTCGACACGCCTAGGCCCTTAGTTAAACCCGTACTCTAGTTAAGATCGTATCGTAACATGGTAACAGAGCGGTCCGTCCTAGGACCTATTTCGTTTATGGGCCCATCACATTTCGCGACTGCTACAGTTAGTGGCGCGAAATCCGCACCTTGCGTATCTTTTTTTTTTCCCTGCTGCTCGCGCTGCCCCCCGTCGCCTGCCCGTCGCATCGTCGTCGCCTGCCTCGTCGCGGCTCTCAGCGCGACGGGCGCGGCGGACGCTATGGCGACCGCCAGCGACCCGCCAGCGAAGTCGCCAGCGAAGTCGCCAGCGGCCCGCGATCGCGTTTGCGCCATCGACTGCAGCCAGCGCCACCCTGCACCTCGCCTGTCGCACCGGCGGTCGCTGTGGGGGGGAGAGGGAAGAAGGGATGGGAGTGGCGGCGGAACTCTGTGGGGGCGAGAGGGAAGAGGGGATAGGAGTGACGGGGGAACGCCAGCGACGATCGCCAGAGCACCGGCGATCGCCCCAGCCGCTCATTCGCCCGCTCTGCCCGTCGCATTCCCCCCGCCCCCTGCCCGTCACCCCCCCCCGTCGCGACTGTTTACGTGTGCAGCGGCGGTCGCCATGGGGAGGAGAGGGAGGATGGGAAGGGAGTGGCGGCGGGACGCTGTGGAAAGGAGAGAGAGGAGGGGAAGGGAGTGGCGGCGGGACGCTGTGGAAAGGAGAGAGAGGAGGGGAAGGGAGTGGCGGCGGGACGCTGTGGAAAGGAGAGAGAGGAGGGGAAGGGAGTGGCGGCGGAACCAGCACCAGCGCCAGCTGCCAGCACCAGGAACCAGCACCAGCACCAGCCGCCAGCACCAAGCACCAGCCCCAGCGCCAGCCGCCAGCACCAGGAACCAGCCCCAGCGCTTGCCGCCAGCACCAGGAACCAGCCCCAGCGCCAGCCGCCAGCACCAGGAACCAGCACCAGCGCCAGCCGCCAGCACCAGGAACCAGCCCCAGCGCCAGCCGCCAGCACCAGGAACCAGCCCCAGCGCCAGCCGCCAGCACCAGGAACCAGCCCCAGCGCCAGCCGCCAGCACCAGGAACCAGCCCCAGCGCCAGCCGCCAGCACCAGGAACCAGCACCAGCGCCAGCCGCCAGCACCAGCACCAGCAACCCCACCTGTGACCAGCAGCCCCACATGTGACCAGCAGCCCCACCTGTGACCAGCAGCCCCACCTGTGACCAGCAGCCCCACCTGTGACCAGCAGCCCCACCTGTGACCAGCAGCCCCACCTGTGACCAGCAGCCCCACCTGTGCCCAGCAGCCCACTTGTGAAAGACTGTACAGGGACCATCGTGGGTTGGGAGAGGTATGGAGGAATACAGGGGTGGAGGGAGTGCGGTTCCAGGGGGCGGCTGAAATGGGGGGTGAGGTTGAGGGCGGGTGGTTGGTTGGGGGTGGGGATGTGGGGGTTAGTAAGAGGGGACGCTGCGGCCACCCCCCCACCTCCTCTCCTCATCCCCCACTCAACCCCCCTTTCGTAAAAGGGGGTTAGTAAGAGGGGACGCTGCGGCCACCCCCCCACCTCCTCTCCTCATCCCCCACTCACCTCCTCCTGTGTTCTTATCTATTCTCCTCTCCTCTCTTCCTCTTGCCTCCTCCACCTCACGTACCCCTCTGCCGTCTCCCACCGCACCTGCTATACCCCTTCAGGGGGTGTGACTTGCTCTAGCTATGTGCTGCAGGCAGTTAAGGGGGTGTGTCGCGATATATATTTATATATGTTTATAACTGCCTGTAGCTTTAGCTTTAGTGTAGTTATGTTTCTTTGTTGTGGTGGTGCACCTCTTTGTTTCTTTGCTATATGTTCTTGCAAACCTATAGTGAAGACACACATTCTCGATTCTCCCTTGGCACAACTCCCTCGACACCCGTTTGGCCTAGGCTACTAAGCCTAGGCCCTTAGTTAAACCCGTACTCTAGTTAAGATCGTATCGTAACACTCTCTTCCTGTTCTTGCTGACCCGGAGTCTGACTCTCTTCGTGCTGCCAGTCCTAATGTCACGCGTCTCCTGGCCACTGCTGTCACTGACCCTTCTTTTGAGACTGCTGCTGCGTCTGCCCTAGTTGCTGAGCTTGTCGACTTTGCTGCTCGCTGTCGTCTAGACTACGCTGCGAGTCTTGTTGCTGAGTCTGAGTCTGTCTGTCCTCCGTCCGTCGGAGGTGAGTGTGCTCTAGGCACGGACGTCCTTGAGGACAGACAGGAGGATCTTGAGTGTCTTGCAGCCGCTGCGCCTCATCTCGTGTCCATGCTGATTGCCCCTGAGGGAGACCCGGATGCTCCAGACATCCCGACCCCACGCTCTTACGCCGAGGCGATCGCGGGTGAGTACTCCTCTGAGTGGCAGACAGCTATGGACACAGAGATGGCATCCTGGAAGTCCACAGGCACTTACGTCGACGAGGTTCCCCCTCCCGGGGCGAACATCGTCAGTGGCATGTGGATTTTCAGGGTGAAGCGGCCGCCGGGTTCTCCGCCTGTCTTCAAGGCTCGTTACGTTGCTCGAGGCTTCAGTCAGCGAGAGGGAGTAGACTTCTTTTAGACCTTCTCCCCCACCCCGAAGATGACCACTCTTCGGGTGCTACTGCACGTTGCTGCTCAGCGTGACTACGAGCTTCACTCTCTTGACTTCAGCACAGCTTTCTTGCAGGGCAGCCTGCACGAGGAGATCTGGCTGCGCCGCCCTCCTGGCTTCACTGGGTCGTTTCCTCCTGGTACCCAGTGGAGCCTCCGGCGGCCGGTCTACGGTCTCCGCCAGGCGCCACGTGAGTGGCACGACACACTGAGGACTACTCTTGCGGCACTTGGGTTCGCGCCTTCTACTGCTCACCCGTCGCTGTTTCTGCGCACCGACACTTCGCTGCCGCCGTTCTGCATCCTCGTGTACGTCAACGACTTGGTCTTTGCCACTGCTGACACTGAGGCTCTCGCCCACGTGAAGTCGGAGCTGCAGAAGAGACACACGTGCACAGACCTGGGTGAACTGCGCAGCTACCTTGGCTTGTAGATCACCCGGGACAGAGCACGCCGCACCATCACACTGACTCTGTCACACATGGTGCAGCAGGTCCTTCAGCGCTTCGGCTTCACCTGGTCCTCAGCACAGGCCACTCCTCTGGCTATAGGTCACTCGCTCTCAGCTCTGCCTTCGGATGAGTCCGTAGAGCCGAGTGGTCCTTACCCAGAGCTAGTTGGTTGCCTCATGTACCTGATGACTTGCACTCGTCCTGACCTAGCATACCCTCTTGGCCTTCTGGCCCGCTACGTGGCTCCTGGCAGGCACCGAAAGGTGCACTGGGATGCTGCAAAGAGGGTATTGCGCTACTTGTGCTGTACATCGGGCATGGGGCTCGTGCTTGGAGGAGGGAGCTCAGTTGTTCTCACTGGGCACTCAGACACTTCTTGGGTTGACGACCAGGCTACTCAGCGGTCGTCACAGGGTTACACCTTCAGCCTTGGCTCTGGCTCAGTTTCGTGGCGTTCTACGCGTTCGTCTTCAGTTCTCAGCTCCAGTTGTGAGGCTGAGATCTACGCCACAGCCATGGCTGCACAGGAGTTACACTGGCTCACCTACCTGCTGACCGACCTGGGAGAGCGGCCTCGTTCTCCTCCAGTGCTGTACGTCGACAACAAGGCTGCCATTGCCTTGTGTGAGGAGCACAGACTGGAGCACAGAACGAAGCACATCGCTCTACGTTACTTTCTGGCTCGAAAGTTGCAGCAGCGTGGTCAGCTTCGTCTGCGTTACGTGGCCACTCAGGCCAACACTGCTGATATATTCACCAAGGCACTTCAGTCTGGTGATCATCAGCGCTTCTGTACTTTGTTAGGACTTGTGCTCACTTTGCCTCACTTGCTGTAGACCTTGCCTGTACTGTGATCTATATACTTATACCTGCATGCTTGCACTGCTAGGCAGAGATCACTGTGATGTTTGTGATGCATATATGCCTCTGCATGTGAACTGGCCTTGTGGCTCTTTGCTTGTGCTCAGTGTGTGTGGTGACTTTGTGATCCACCCTGAGCTTGCGTTCTCTTTCTTGACTGGTCTTGTGACCCCTTGCTCTACCCCACTTAGCCTATGGGGGTGTGTCAAACATGATATATGTTATTGTTGTGTAGGCTATAGCGGGTTAGCCTTTAAGGGGTATATCATTCTAGGGTTTGCTACTTGTATCACCAATGTTCATAGTTCAATCACTTGTTCTTTCTAACACCTAAACCCTGTAGTAATACAAAAGATTGCAAAGAAGCGTTATCTCAGGTGATTTACAAAGAGCATTGAGTGTTTTATTTTGGGCCTTGTTTATTATAATGTTTATTATATATAGTTACCATCTACTGATAATATTTGTTGTGAAACTATCGCTGTGTATAGTATCGAGCAGGTAAAGATTGTTTCTTCACACTTCAGCAATGCCGTTGAACATGTTCATTTCTATAGTATGACGCGGCGCAAACTCATTGGCTGGTTAATTCTCAAATGTCAGTTTGAACTTTGAGCAGATAGTGACGAGGCGGTCTGTGATTGCTTGATCGGGTCAAGTGCGATCTGTTTTGAGCACTACAGTTTAGCAACCTCAGATCCAATCGTCTCGCGACACGCGTTGACTGAAATGAGACACATAGAACGATTCATCTCGCGACAGTCTGATACAGTGAACCGAAGCAGACTGTCGAACCTGTTCGCGCTCGAACCTCGCCGAACCAGCATTCCACACTTTCGGGAACGCAATGACTAATCGGTGAACCCTGCGTGGCAGGGGGGTTCCACATTGAACCCTAAACTGCCCACCGACAAAATGACGACCCGGAAAAACAACCATATAAGTGTTAATATAGATCACTTTAACGCGAGCGCGGAGAACTGTACAATCGCGACGCATCAGCCGTTCGTCTCGCATCACAACCCGAGCGCACCAGCATACGCACCTCTGGAGAAAGTGCACAGCGACATATAAGTGTTAATATAGACTTACTGCATCAGCCGTTCGTCTCGCTTCACAACCCGAGCGCACCAGCATACGCACCTCTGGAGAAAGTGCACAGCGACATACTGTACAATCGCGAACCTGGTCAAGGAGCATACAACTACGCCATCACCTTCATTGACGCTGCCACACGATACGTATGGCATCTTAATCTTCCGAGCCGCGACATGGCCTTCGAAGCTTTCGTCGCCTGGCTTCCAGTAGCAGAACGAGAATCAGGAGTGAAGCTGAAAAGCTTCCAGTCAGACGGGGGAGGGGAATATACGTCACAGAGGTTCACGCAGTTCTTGGCAGAGAGAGGCATCAAGAGACTCCTCTCCCTTCCCTAGGCTCACCAGCAGCAAGGCGTGGCAGAAAGAATGAACAGGGCCCTCCAGAACACCATGCGCAAGCTGCTACGTGGCATGCGGCTACCCAACCACCAATGGTCTGAGGCGATGGACCATGCTGTCATGCTGCATAACTTGCTTTCGTCATCATCGCTCCCGAACAACGCATCACCGCATCTGCTGTGGACAGGAAAATTGGGCAACACAAAAATGTTACGAGTGTTCGGCTGCATGGTACAGTACCGACCCCTAGCTGCACGCGCCGGTCAATTCTCCCAACGCGCACAATGGGGACTACACCTGGGCATCGAGAAACATTACAACGCATGGAAGATTTTTGACATCAACACAAAGGAAACAGTGGCAGCACGTGATGTCATCTTCTACGAACGTCTCACCCTTCCAACGTACCTGTACAACTTGGAAACCTCACGGGATGTTACAGGCGGATTTCGTGGGGACCGAGCCTTCGCTTCGGCAGCAGATGAAGCTAACTGGGATGAGCAGAACGTGGACAGAGCCTCGGAAGAAGCCGGACCTCTTCCCTACTGCTCGGTGGACATCCCAATGGATGATGACAAACCTCGCAAAAGCATCAACACAAAAGTCTTCTACGACTTCGCTGACACCGGTTACGTTACGCCCGCACGAGTCAACACCGACGAAGCAGAACACATAGGGCCCAATTTCTAACCTGATCCAGAAGTAGGAGACGAAGCAGCTTATCCCGAGGATGCAAATCTCCCCCGCTACACACAAAGTGGACTCTAGATACTCAGGCTCGTCACCGCAGTCCACGGCACGGCGCCACCTAAGGAGCCTGCCACGGTTTAGCAGGCTCTGGGGGGGGAGCATAGGGAAAAATGGCGCGAAGCCATGGACAAGGAGTTAAAAGCGCTGGAAGAACGCAATGCTTGGAAAATCGTTCCCATCGGCGTGGCACGCAACAAGACAATCCTCACCGAGAGATGGGTTTTCCGTGTGAAAACCAAAGCAGACGGCACCATCGACAAGTTCAAGGCGCGCTGGGTCGTACGCGGCTTCGACCAAGAGCATGGACGGGACTTCACCGAAACGTTCGCGCTGGTCAGCCGACACACCTCACTGCGGATTCTCCTCGCGATAGCCGCCATGAAGCGGAAGAAGCTTCGTCAAACCGGCGTCGCTAACGCTTTTCTCTACGCACCCGTCGACGCTGAAATCTTCGTCGAGCAACCGCACGGCTCCAACCCAGACCCCAATCAAGTTTGTCAGTTACTAAAGTCTCTGTACGGCATCAAACAGGCTCCGAGGCTGTGGCAGCAGTATCTACACACCCGACTCATTCGCATCGGATTCCGTCAGCTACCGCACGACCAGGGCATGTACCGGTTCACGAAAGGCACCGACAACAGTCGGTAGATGTACCGGCTACATCTACCGACTCGAAGCAGAATATATCGCACTCTGCTCAGCCACCAAGGAAGGATTATATCTTCGCGAACTGCTGGAAGAAGCGAAGCTGGCCCAGTTACCCAGCTTCTCCTTGTTCTGCGACAACGAGTCAGCAATCCGCATTGCGAACAAAAACGGATTCGCAAACAGGACGATGCACATCGCCCTGCGATATTTCTTCGTGAAGGACGAGATTGAGAAGGGGAGACTCGAGCTGTCCTACTGTCCCACGTCCGAGATGGCAGCCGATTACTTGACCAAGAAGCTCGGAAAACAGAAGTTCTAGTACTGCATGCTGCTGACTGGACAAGGCCACGTCACCAGCAGCGACACTCCGGAAGCGAAGGGGAGTTTTGGAAACAAGTGACGTAAGCGCTTCTGATGTGTCGAAACACTGAACTGCAAGTGAAGCAAACTACAACGAAGTATCGGTTAGTCAACCAAGGAGGTTGACAGAAAATGTAACTGCTGGAGGTTACGCGAAGGTCAAAGGTCGCTGACCTTTGACTCGACAAATACAGCGCGACAACAAGGACAAACAACTGACTCGTTATAGAGCAGTTGCCCAAGTCGTCATTGTATCGAACCGCAACAGCAATGGTTATTGCATCCTTTCATATTCCTTGTAATCTTGTAAAAAGCTTGTATTATCTTTGTATAATCAATCTATCTTGCCCTCACATACTAGCGCAAGGTGGTTCTGAGAAGAAACGAGGAATGGGAATGACTAAGGGAAAGTTGGGTACAAATGTAAACCCTAGAAAACTGTACCCCATATGTGCTACCCCACTATAGCCTACAGTAGCTATGTCATATAAATCTGACAGGTTCAACACTTGTCATCAAAACGCTTCCGCAACGACAACACTTTTATTCAGAGTTTAGCCTTGAGAAGATCCTAAGGGCTTTTCTCAGCCCAACATTGGCAAACAGCTGTGCTCTTGCGACAAGCATTTGTAAATTGGACCAACTCTGCAGATTGAAATTGTGAGTGTCTACTACCGTCATGCCCCGGATATACCCCCAGGCCTATGTTACACCCATGGGCTTATAATCGTACCAGTGGGCTTATAGCCGGGTGCCGATTATAACCCCACCCTAAATTTGAATCATCTTCGTATAAGCGCACCCTATGAAATTTTACTCAAATCTGTGTTTTTCTAGTGAATTCGCCACTAACGCGTCAGAAGCAGGGCCTCAGATATCAGGAAAAAAACCCTGAAATTCCTGATTTTGGCAGTCCTTTTTTTACCTACCCTGAAAAGTCAGTGTTGAGATTTTTGAGGGACTGATCTTTCAGCCTTTTTTGTTAGGCCACACTGAAATTTCAGACTTTTTCCCCCTAGGACACTGATGCCACAACGTTGTAACGAAACCAACACTGAAGCGATTCTTACCTGTGCCATGTGGATTTGACCGCAATTACAGGGAATCTCAGATTCCCGAGGTGTAAGCACCCCGTGGCGAGGCCAACCTGTGAAATTCTGCCTCTAATTCATGTTCAGAGGTGTTTTGTTGGCGCGGCGCCTCACACCATTGGGCCGTTTCGCTGCAGCAGTCAGTCTTGGCCAATCCGAACGTGGCCACCATGTGGTGCTGGAGGGCTGCCAAGGATCCTGTCCCGTTGCCATCACATGCGACGCGTTAGTGACAGCCTTTTTACTAGTGCTACACTGATGCATCAGGCTTTTTACAAATGCAACACTGACATTTCAGCCTTTTTTTTTTTTTTTTTAACACTGCCAATCAGAGTTTACACACAGGGGGACCCTGATGGGTTGACGACCCTAAAAGTGAATCTGAGGGCCTGGTTAGAAGCAATCGTCGCTGACGTGCCTGGCGAAGCCTTCCCTGGCCCGCCTGGCGAAATTGCCACAGGCGCGCACGTGTTAGCAACATTTCAGCACATGATGGCAGGGATTTTCGCCAGGGTGATTCTCTGTGAATTTCGAAGCGGACTGTTTTGTGGTAGTCTCGATTGAAACAGCAAGGCTGAGATTTACATTTCTGTGTTTTAAAATCATAATTATCTAAGTGTCATTTATTTCCCCCATTGGGTTATAAAAAAATCCACATTATAAGACCACCCACAAATTTTCCAGGTTTTTTTATACCCCCACCTGGGGGCATATCCGGGGCATGACGGTAGGTATGGTTGCAATTTGGGGGTATGCATGCTATATGACCGTGATCCCCTTGAATATAAGCACACCCACGTAAAGAATACCAGGATAGATAATGCAGACCTATCCTATCCAAGGTCCTTTTAACACTAACATATCCACACTCACGAGCATCACCACGGCACCATGTGACTGGCATAGTCACCTGAACCGTCCCCAAAATCCTCTCCACCCATCCCAACCGCACTGTGACCACGGCGCAGTGGTGTGTGCGGCCTGCCTTGCAGTGCAACCGAGCTATTACTACCAGTACCTGTGCGAGCAGGAAACACCCGCTCCTCCACGTGGCTATTGCTCAGGTGATGAAACACACTGTTGTTGCCGTTGTTGCCGCTCTTGTTGCTGTTGCTGTTGCTGCTGTGGCAGTTTTTGCTGCTTGTATTGTTGATGGCTTGCGCTCCCCTCACAGGACCAGCTGTACCCGATTGATACTGGCGCTCAAGAATCAGGCTACGAGGGGATGCAAGTTGCTGCTGCTGCTGCACCTCCTCCTCCTCGACCAGTGCTGGCCACACTGCAGCAGGGTGGAAGGTGAAGTCATGAGATTCAGAGCGGTTGAGTGCGGCGGATTGACGGCGCGGGGCAAGGGTGTAAATGCTGGTGGGAGGAGGAGGGTCGGAATGCTGAAGGGTGCTGCTGACATGACGAGTAGACCTGCCACTGGAAGCACCACCCGTGCCTGTGCTGTTCTGCCTCCTGGCTTGTCTGTTTGCACTGCTCGCAGCACCACCACGAGCTGATCCCATTGTGGAAGCACCACCATGTGCTGACGACCCTACGGCAACAGCACCGCGTGCTTGGGATGTTCGAGACACCACCACCCTCTCCCCTGCAGTCGGTGTACTCGCATCTGCAAATCTCATGCCATCAGCTGCAAAATCAGCACCGGCAGCAGCATCGGCACTGGCATCTGAACAGGCATCATCAGGAGCTGCCTGGTTGAGGTCAAACAAGGACAAATGATGCTTCCCACTGCCACTCACAAGCCCCTCATATCCCACACCACCACTGCTGCTTATGCTGCTCATGCTGCCACTCATGCTACCGTTGCTGCTGATGCTGCTGCCACTGTTGTTCCTCTCACTTCTGCTGCTGTCACCAGCCCTGCCTCCCCCCCCCTTGCTGCCACTTGTTCGGACAAGTGACCTTCCTTGAATCACAGGCACCGCTTTCTTCTTCCCTTTCACCTTCGCCTTCCCACCACTCTTCTCCCCACCCTCCCCAGCACCTGCCTTTCCCTTAGCGCCTTCCGCTTTCTTACAAACTCCAACCCGGCTGCTAGCCCCCACAACGCTTGCGTGCCCTTCATTTTCCAAACACACCTCCACATCCTTCTCCGAAATCATTTCAATGTCGTTTCCCAAAAAGGCGTCTATTTCTCTCTCCAAAATCGCATAATCCAAACTCTCTACTCGTTCCACTATAACCCCTTCCTGAGCCCCATCCCCTCGCTCGCTCTCACTCACACCAGCCACGCTACTGACACTTCTCCCACCTCTCTTCCCTGCCCCTTTCCCCTCCCCTTTCACCTTTCCTTTCCCTACTCCCGCTCCTTCCTTCTTCCCCATCTTCCCCCGCACTGCTTTTCTCTTCCCCTCTATACCACCCCCCTCCCCTGCGCCTGCAGCCCCTTGCTTCCCCTCCTCTCCGGCTGCGGCCTTACCCCCTCGCCTTGTCTTGCCAGTGCTATCTTTCTTGGGGACGTGACCAGAGGCACCAGAAACAGCAGAAGGGTCACAAGCAGCAGAGGCGGAATCGGCAACAGTGCGTCTAGGAGCCTTGGTGGGTTGAGCAGGCTTGGCATTCAAGACCGAAGCATCCGCAGCAGCAGCAACAGCTGCCGGAGCACCCAAAGGTGAAGCAGCAGCGGTGCCAGCAGCTGCACTACGTGATGCTGTTACTGCCGGTGCTGCTGATGCTGCTGATGCTGCCGCTGTTGGTTGTGGTGCTTTGGTGGGACAGGCATATGCACCGGACAAGGAAACAGCTGAAGAGGCAGGAGCAGAGAGAGCAGGCGAGGCTGCTTTAGGTGCAATAGCAGAAGCAGGTGATGGGATCGTGCTGGGTCTAGGAGCAATAGCCTGAGCTGTGGCAGCAGCACCATTGACACTCGCGCTGGCAGCAACAGGAGCAACAAGACTTCTCGTGTCCCGCACACCCTTTGTGCCCTGCACACCCTTTGTGCCCTCCATACTGTCTTTGCCCCCTTGTACACCCCTCTCTGCTCTTGCTGCTTTTTTTGCTGCCTCCAGCACCGCTCTCAACCGCATCACCTCGTTGCTGCGGCTGTCCAGCAGCTCTCGCGTCTTTGGTGGGGAAGGGGAAAGGGGAAAACGGAAAGGGGAATGGGGAAAGGAGACTGAGGAAGGAAATGTGAGCAGGAAATGTGAGGAAGGAGACTTAGGGGTGTGCACCCCTGCAAGCCTTGCTTTCCAGGCAAGACATTTGCCGGAGACACTGACTCAAGGCAGTTAGAAAACGCCCTGACTTAAGAAAAAGACAGTCTATAAAAAGGCAATCACAGAGACATGGCTTTCTCCCTACAGTGCAGCTTACCTGCGCCAGAACGGATTGAAGGTGCTGCACCTGCTCCTTGTACTGCCACAGTCAGGACAAGTCAAGGCACAGGCAGAGATGCAATGCATGGGTGGGTTGAGGAAAGGGAAGGGGGAATGGGAAATCAGCACGGATTGAAGGTGCTGCACCTGCTCCTTGTACTGCCACAGTCAGGTCAAACCAAGGCACAGGCAGAGATGCAACGCATGGGTGGGTTGAGGTGGAGGGGAGATGATGAAGGGAAGGGCATTCAGCGTTGCTTGTAGGTGCTGCAGGGTGTTTCTGAAAATTCTCAAAACACCCTGCAGCATGCTGGGTCTGCTTCTTTGTGTTGCGATTCCTTGTCAAGGCACACAGAAACAGATGCAATGCACTGGAGGGTTGAGGAGAAGGGGGAGTAGGAAGGAGAGAAGAACGTGCAGCCATGACTCATGGCCCATGCCTCACGCACCTAGGTGGAGAGAAGAGGGAGGCTTCAAGAGGAGCCAACGAGTGAGATGGGCAATAATGTTGGTCATTACTCGATTCATGAAGGAGCAAAGGATTCGGATACTCGGCTCTTGGACTTACAACGATGGCAGTGCACTACTGCTGGCATGTCCCTGCCGACAGCAGGGATGGGTCCGAAAATCTAAGAGGCGAAGATCAGACCAGCGGTCCATGTGATTCCGAATATCTAAGGCCCTAGATATCCGGAATATCTAAGGCCAGCATCACCCTTGCACCTTGCGAGGGCCTTGTGGGTACGGTAACTCCACAATGCCCTCGCAAGGCGCAAGGGTGATGCTGACGTACGCCAAGGATGCAACAGAGTGCACAGGAGTGCAAAGGAGTGCTGCATGGTGCATTTGACTCACCATGGACCTGTTACCACCCCCCCGCCTCCCTCCCTCTCCCATTCTCACCTCCTTGAGCAATCCATGGTCCCTCCTTTCGCCACTGCCACAGTCACAAATAGTGTCTTTGCCCGCTCTGCCGTGCATGCTCCTCTGCTGCTGCAGCACCTCTACCGTCGACTCCAGGGCGCGGATGGTCGTCTGGGTGGGGTGGCATGGAGATAGAAACACAGGGGAAAAGCATATGATGAGACGCCTGTGCGCTCCCCTGCTGCTGCAGCACCTCTACCGTTCACTCCAGGGCGCGGATGGTCGTCTGGGGTGGCATAGAGATACAAGTACAGGGGTGGAACAAAATGATGAGGCGCCTCAGAAACGCTCTGCTGCTGCAACACCATCTACTGTAGTAGACTCAAGGGCATTGAGAACAAATGGGGGGAAAGCCATTTGTATAGGCGATTTCCGAGGGATGTTTTAGGTGCCTGCTCACTCCTCTGCTGCTGCAGCACCTCTATTGTGAACTCCAGGGCGCGGATGGTCGTCTGGGGTGGGATTCATTCTTCACATGCGAGCACGGAGGTAAAACGGGGAGGAGAGATCACATTGGCATGCTAGCTTGCGTGTAGCATTGGGTTGTCTCACGCTTCAGTTGCGGGATCCAAGACGCTGGTCTCCTGCTGAATTCTTTGAGTCGACTCAGAAGGGATTTAGGACGCTGGTATCCTGTCTGAGCATTCTCAAAAGCGATACATGGATAGTGCTGGGGAAGGTGGGTGGGAAGGTGCTTGAGAGCATTTTCAAGAGTGATACAAGGATAGCGTTGGGGTGGTTGGGTTCAGCAATGCATTCCCTTGCGCTACACTTGTGGAATGCAGGGCTTGGCGATGCAATGCTGCACTGCTTGCGGGAAAGGTTCTTGCTTGAGGGCGTTTCAGCTGTTGTTTGGGGTTGAAGGAGGGGGGAAGTGTGGTTTACGGAGGGGATAGGGAAGAGGCAAGGGGAAGGAGTCGCTGACGACAGGTATAAAGAGGTTGAACTAAGTTAAGACACGTCCAGACTGGTTAAGACTGGTGGTAATAAAATGATGAAACTGGAGGGTGTGGTTAAAGGAGGGGAGGGCATGAGACGAGTGGAGGATGCATGAGGCATATCGTTACTCAAATTGAGGGTGGCTCCAACGGGGCAAAAGTGATGCAGAAGTCTTGTAAGTGTGTGTGTGTGTGTGTGTGTGTGTGTGTGTGTGTGCGCGCGCGCACGCGCGCGCGTGTGTGTCTCTGTGTGTATGTGTATGTATGTGTGTGCGTCTGTGTGTGTGTGTGTGCATGTGCGAGAGCTAGCGTGTGAGCTTGTGTGTGTGTGTGCATGTGTGTGTGTGCATGTGTGTGTGTGCATGTGTGTGTGCATGTGTGTGTGTGCATGTGTGTGTGTGCATGTGTGTGTGCGTGCGCGCATGCACATGCTAGTAGTGTGTGCGTTCACCGAGCCATGAACCCACCCACCTGAGACGAAGCAAGGTCCGCCTGCAGAGACTGCAGTATCTTGGACTTGTCGTTGTTACGCTGATACAGTGAGGGGGGAAGAGAGGAGATTGGGGTGGGGGGAAATGGAGTGCGGGATGTGAGATTGGGGAGGGTGTGGAGAGTGGGGAGGTTGGGCGGCTTAAAAAAAGGGTGTTGAGACATCTCAAATCACAAGGGAGTGGGAGTGTGTGGTGGGGGGGAGATTGCGACAGATGACAGAACGGAATGCTGGCTGTGACGTATGTGGCAAGAGGAGAGTTGCCTGGGAGGGCACACTGTTTTCCCACCTCGCGCTATCATTCCCTTTCCATGCTCTCACCATGGCCCACGGTCCCTCAACATAGATTCCCATCTCCTTCTCCCTCCCATCCCATCCCCACCATACCGCCACCCTTTTCCTCCCTCCGTCTGCGTCCTCCACGCCCTTCTCCCCCCCATCAACTCACCATGGCAGCCACCAGCTTGCGGCACTCGCTGTTGGAATGCTCCAGACCAGAGCCACTCCAAACGGGAGGAAACGCCCCTCACCCCATTCCCTCCCTGTACCTCTCCCCATCCCTTCCTCCTATCAACTCACCATGGCAGCCACCAGCTTGCGGCACTCGCTGTTGGAGTGCTCCAGAGCCACTCGAAACGCCTCCCTCTCGATCGTCACCTTCACCACAGCCTCCCTCACCGCCCCCACCGCGCCCGCCGCCCTCTGCCGATCCCTCTCCACCACTCTCAAACACCTCCGTATCTCCTCCATTTCCGCCACCACCGCTCGCACAGTGTTATCCCGAGCAGACCTCAGCACACCCAGCTCCTCCCGTGCTTCTAGCAGCGCCCCATGCACATCTATCAGTTTCTCTTCTGTGCGTTCTAGCTCTCGCCGCCAGTCCCACTCCTCCCACCCATCCCTGTGCGCCCGTGCCTCTTCCATTTCGGCCTGCAGGTGCTCCCGGTATGCGGGGTCTTTCGACGGGTGTGTGCTGATAGTGCTGCTGCTGTTGCTGCTGCAGCTGCACCAGCTACAGCTGCTCGTGCTGCTGCTGCTGCCGCTGCTGCTGCCGACCTCGTTACACTCACCCCCGTCTGCTTCACCCCGTGCTGTTGCCGCTGCCGCCGCCACCGCTGCTACCTTGCTCGCTGCCCTACTCGCCGCAGGCAGCTGCATTCTCGCACCACCCAGGCCACCCATACAGCCAGCAGCACCAACAACACCACCTCTCTCCAGCTGCTTCAGAATCTCCTCCCACCTTCCTCTATCCATCAGTTCGCTCACCATCCTCCACGCCCTCTGTGCTTCCTCTGATCGCACCCACGCACTCAACCTCTCCCACACACCCCCCACCTCACTCCACTGCATAGCCAGCAGTCTCAACACCCCCTCCTCTCCCTCACCAGCCTCCACCACTGCTGCTTCCCCATTCGCTCCCGCACTCACCCGCTCCCTCTCCCCCTCCGTACTTCCGCTCTTCTCCTCCCCTTCTCCCTTCCCTCCGACCTTTCCTGCCCGTGCCTTCCTCTCCCCATCTCCCCCTTCCTCCTCTTCGCTCCACGTATCCTCATCCTCCTCACTCCCTTCCCCTCTCCCCTCCTCGCCCTGGCCCTTCTGTCCATTCTTCCGCCACAGCTGCCGCCATTCCTCTCTCTCTCTCTCCATATCCTGTTCTATGCCCCACTCTCCGTCCCCTCCGTCCCCACCGTCCCCTCCTCCATCTCCCTCCTCTCCTTCCTCACCCTCTTCTCCACACGTCTTCTTCTCCTCACTCCTCCTCTTCCTCTCCTCGTCCCTCTCCTCCTCACTCCTCCTCTTCCTCTCCTCGTCCCTCTTCTCCTCACTCCCCCTCTCCGCCTCCCACTCCCTCTCTTTCTCCTCATAAGCCTCTCTTTCCCTCTGCCTCTCCTTTGCTCTACTCTTCTCCTTTTCCCTATCTGCCTCCCTTTGCTCTTGCTTCTCCCTCTCCTCTTCCCTCTCCCTCTCCCTTTCCTCTTCCCGCCGTCGCTCCTCTTCCCTCTCCGAATCCCACTGCAATTCCTTCTCCCTGAAAGCGCTCCTTTCCTTCTCTCTCTCCTCTTCTCGCCTCCGTTCTTCTTCCCTTTCCAGCTCCCACTGCTTCTCCTTCTCCCCAAACTCAGCTTCCTGCCGTTTCCTCTCGTCCTCTCGTTCCCTCATCCTAGTCATCACTTTCTCCCACATCCTCTCTTTCTTTTCCAACACCTCCTTTTCCTTCATCATCTCCTCTTCCCTCTGCCTTTCCTCTTCCCTCTCCGCCTCCCACTCTGCTTCACTCAATGCCATTGCTTCCACTTCCCTCTGCCTCTCTTCTTCCTTCCTCATCTCCTCTTGCCTCTCTTCCTCCCTCTGCTTCCGCCTTTCTTTTTCTTCAGCTCTTTCCTTCTCTCTTTCCTCCTCCCTCTTTTTCTCCTCCTCCCTCTCCCTCTCCCACTCACCTTCCTTCCTCTCAAATACCTGCCTCTCCCTTTCCCTCTCCTCCTCCGCAACCCTCTCTCTCTCCCTCTCTACTTCCCACTGCCTCATCTTCATCTCATATTCTCCCCTCTCCGCCTGCCTTTCCTTCTCCCTCTCCTCCATCCTTCCCACCTCCTCCCTCCACTCCTCCTTCACCATCTCGGTCCGTCCAACAGCATCCACCTCCCCCTCTCTATCCCTCCCTCTCCTCGCCTCCTCTTCCTCTCCCAGCAGCACCAGTACTCTCAGCCTTTCCACTTCCCGTTCAAGTTCCGTTTCCTTCTCCTCGCGCCTCTTCTCCACCTCCTCTCTCTCCTCCTTTGCCTGTTTCTTCTCTTTGTCCCATTCCTGTCTCACCTCCTCTGCCTGTCTATTTTCTCTCTCCCTCTCCTCTCTCTCCTCCTCTGCATTTCTCTTCTCGCTCTCCATTTCCTTCCTCGCCTTCCTCACCTCTTCTTCCATCCTCGCAACCCCTTCCCCTGCCACACGGATTCGCTCCTTCAGTCCTGCCTCCCTCTCCTCCCTCTCTCTCTCCTCCCTCACACGTGCTTCCCGTTCCTCTTCACGTTCCCTCTCCACCTCCTCCCGCAACTTCCTCTCCCTTTCCTCCCCTGCCGCCCTCTCCCTCTCCCTCTCCTCCTTTTCCACCTTCAACTCACTCTCGAGCTTCTCACCTCTCTCCCTTGCTTCCACCAGCCCAGCATTCAGCCTCTCTTCTATCTCCTTCACCTCCCTCCTCTCCTTCTCTCTCTCTTCCCTCTCCAACCTCAATTCCTCTTTCAGCCTCTCTTCCCTTTCTTCCACTCCCCTCCCCGCCTTCTCCGTTTCTTCCCACACCTTCTTCAACTCACCCTCAAGATCACGCTCTCTCCTCCTCCACTCCTCTCTCTCCTTTGCCCGCTCTTCCCTTTCCTTTACCCTCTCCTCCATCTCCTTGGCCCTCTCCTCCCTCTCTCTCCTCACATCTTCCATCAGCATCTCCTCTCTCTCCTCCTTCCCCTTCCCTTCTCTCTCTCTCATCTCCCTTTCCATCCTCACTTCCCTCTCAAGCACACCCACCCTCTCTCTCGCCTCCCTCAACTCTCCCTCCAATTCCTCTCGCCTTTTCTCTCTCTCCCTCCTCTCCTTCTCCATCTCCCCCCTCTGCTTCTCCCTCGCCTCCTTCTCTTCCGTCAGTCTCACCTCCAGCTCCTCGCAAGCCTCCTTCCACTGTTCCAATTCTCTCCTCACTCCCTCCTCCCTCTCCTCTCCCCTCCTCTTCTCCTCTTCCCTCCCCTCCCTCTCTCCAACCAGTTCCTCCCGTATCATCTTCTCATTCTCCTCACTCTCACAACGCATCCTCTCCCTCTCCCCCCTCTCCCTCTCCACCTCCCCTTCCAACCGCATACAATCTCCTTGCACCTCTCTCAACTCCTCCTCCAGGGTCTGTATCCGCCCCTCCCACTCCATCCTTTCCTTCTCCCTCTCCTCCCTCTCCACCTCCCCTTCCACCTCCCTCTCTTCCCTCTCTCTCTCCTTCTCCCTCTCCACCCTCCCCACCTCTTCCTGTGCTGCCCGTATCTCTCCAACCAGCCTCTCCTCCCTCTCCTCCGCCTCTCTCTTCTCGCTCTCCCTCGCCTCCCTCACGCCATCCACCTCGCCCTGCAGCCTTGCACACTCCGACTGCGCCATAGAAAGCTCTCTTTCCATTTTCTCCACCCTCGCTTCACCCTCCCTCCTCTCCCTCTCCCTCTCCTCCCCTTCCGTCTCTATCTCCTTTTGCAGCCGATTACTCAACTCCTTCGCTTCCCGCAACTCTTCCCGCAAAGCCCCCTCCCTCTCCTCCCCCTCGCTCACCTCTCGCCTCCTCTCCCCCTTCTCTCTCTCCACCTCCTTCCTCATCCCCTCCTCCCTCTCCTTCCCTTCTCTCCTCTCCCGATCTCTCTCCTCTTTCTCCATTCTCAACAACCCCTCCAACTCACAGCACCTCTCTACTGCACCTTGCACTTCGCTTCTCAACTTCCTTTCCCGTTCCACACCCTCCTCCCTCTCCCTCCCCCTCTCTTCCCTCTCCAACTTCACCTCCCCTTCCAGCCTCCTCACAGTCTCATCCCTCCCATTCAGCACCTCTGTCATCTCCTCCAACCTCCTCTCTGCCTCCGCACTCTCTCTCTCCCTCGCCTCACGCTCACACCTTACCTCCTCACATGCCCTCCTCTCCATCTCCTCCCACTCACGCCTCTCTCTCTCCCCCTTCGCCCTCTCCTCCCTCACCTCCTCCTCCAACCCCCTGCACCTCCCTTCCATCTCGCCTACCCTGCCTCTTAGCACCTCTTCCCTCTCCACCTCCTCCTTCCTCTCCCTCTTCCTCTCCTCCTCCTCTCTCTCCATCTCTCTCCGAAGCACTTCAATCCTTTCCTCTCCCTCCCTCACCCTCTTCCTCAACCCCTCCTCCCTCATCCTCGCTTCGCTTCTCTCGCACTCCCTCTCTCCCCTCTCTTTCTCCATCTGCTCTCTCAACCCCTCCTCTCTCGTCCTCCCTTCCGTCCTCTCCCTTTCCCTCGCCTCTCTCTCCTCCACCAGTTCCCCCTCCATCCTCACACACACCTCCCTCACTCCCTTCAACTCTCTCTCCAAAGCCTTCTCTCTCACCTCCCCTTCTTCCTTCTCCTTCCTCCTCTCCTCCCGTTCCACACTCAATTCCCGCCTCACTCTCTCCTCTCTCTCCTCTCCCTCCCTCCTCTCCTTCGCCCTCCCCTCCCTTTCCACCTTCAACTCCCCTTCCATCCGCAGCACCACTCCTTCCAGTTCCACAACCTTCCCTTCCACCTCCTCCACCCTTCCTTCACACTCCTTCCTCTCAGCCGCCCTAATCCCCCGTTCCTGCTCCACTTCCCTTACAAATCCACGAAGCTTTTCCTCAGCCTCCCTCCCCTCCTTCGCTCTCTCCTCCCTCTCCCGCTTCAACTCTCCCTCAAGACGTTCCCCATTGCTGTGAGCTTCCCTCAGTTCTCCCTTCAATATTTGCTGCCTCTCCTCCCACTCCAACCTCTTCCTCTCCCCTTCCTCCCTCTCATTTCTCAACTCCCCCTTCAAACCCTCTTCCCTCCTCTCGAACTCATACCTTTCCCTCTTCCTCTCCTGCTTATCCAAATGCAATTCTCTCTTCAAACCCTCTTCTCTCCTCTCGCCCTCCTCCCTCTCCCTCCGCCTCTCCTGTTTCTCCATCTGCAATTCTCCCTTCAATCCCTCTTCCCTCATCTCACCTTCCTCTCTCTCCCTCTGCCTCTCCTGCTTCTCCAATTGCAATTCTCCCTTCAATCCCTCTTCCCTCCTCTCGCCTTCCTCTCTCTCCCTCTGCCTCTCCTGTTTCTCCAACTGCAATTCTCCCTTCAATCCCTCTTCCCTCCTCTCGCCTTCCTCTCTCTCCCTCTGCCTCTCCTGTTTCTCCAGCTGCAATTCTCCCTTCAATCCCTCTTCCCTCATCTCGCCTTCCTCTCTCTCCCTCTGCCTCTCCTGCTTCTCGGTCTGCAATTCTCCCTTCAATGCCTCTTCCCTCCTCTCGCCTTCCTCCCTCTCCCTCTGCCTCTCATGTTTCTCAAATTGCAATTCTCCCTTCAATCCCTCTTCCCTCCTCTCGCCTTCTTCCATCTCCCTCTGCCTCTCCTGTTTCTCCAGCTGCAATTCTCCCTTCAATCCCTCTTCCCTCCTCTCGCCTTCTTCCATCTCCCTCTGCCTCTCCTGTTTCTCAAATTGCAATTTTCCCTTCAATCCCTCTTCCCTCATCTCGCCTTCCTCTCTCTCCCTCTGCCTCTCCTGCTTCTCCATCTGCAGTTCTCCCTTCAATCCCTCTTCCCTCCTCTCGCCTTCCTCTCTCTCCCTCTGCCTCTCCTGCTTCTCCAACTGCAATTCTCCCTTCAATCCCTCTTCCCTCCTCTCGCCTTCCACCCTCTCCCTCTGCCTCTCCTGTTTCTCAAATTGCAATTCTCCCTTCAATCCCTCTTCCCTCATCTCGCCTTCTTCCCTCTCCCTCTGCCTCTCCTGTTTCTCAAATTGCAATTCTCCCTTCAATCCCTCTTCCCTCCTCTCGCCTTCTTCCCTCTCCCTCTGCCTCTCCTGCTTCTCGAATTGCAATTCTCCCTTCAATCCCTCTTCCCTCCCCTCGCCTTCTTCCCTCTCCCTCTGCCTCTCCTGCTTCTCGAATTGCAATTCTCCCTTCAATCCCTCTTCCCTCCCCTCGCCTTCTTCCCTCTCCCTCTGCCTCTCCTGTTTCTCAAATTGCAGTTCTCCCTTCAATCCCTTTTCCCTCATCTCCCCTTCCTCCCTCTCCCTCTGCCTCTCCTGTTTCTCAAATTGCAATTCTCCCTTCAATCCCTCTTCCCTCATCTCGCCTTCCTCTCTCTCCCTCTGCCTCTCCTGTTTCTCCAACTGCAATTCTCCCTTCAATCCCTCTTCCCTCCTCTCGCCTTCCTCTCTCTCCCTCTGCCTCTCCTGCTTCTCGATCTGCAATTCTCCCTTCAATCCCTCTTCCCTCCTCTCGCCTTCCTCTCTCTCCCTCTGCCTCTCCTGTTTCTCAAATTGCAATTCTCCCTTCAATCCCTCTTCCCTCCTCTCGCCTTCTTCCCTCTCCCTCTGCCTCTCCTGCTTCTCGAATTGCAATTCTCCCTTCAATCCCTCTTCCCTCCTCTCGCCTTCCTCCGTCTCCCTCTGCCTCTCCTGTTTCTCAAATTGCAATTCTCCCTTCAATCCCTCTTCCCTCCTCTCGCCTTCCTCCCTCTCCCTCTGCCTCTCCTGCTTCTCACTCTTCAAATCCCCCTCCAGCCTTTCCCAGTTCATTCTCGCCTCCTGCAGCAGACTCTTCAGCGTCTCCTCCCTCTCCATCCCTTCCTCCATCTCTCTCCTCCTCTCCCCCCTCTCTCTCTCAATCTCCACCACCAAAACCCCCACTCTCTTCTCCAACACCCCTACTACACCCTCCACCTTCATCCCTCCAACCCCCTGATCCCCACTCCCCCTCCCTCCTTCACCTCCCCGTTCACCCTCCACCTCTACCCTCCGAGAAATCCCCAACGCCCCTTCCACCCCTCGCCTCAGCACCTCCCGCTCCCTTACAGCCCCCCTCAGTTCCCCTTCCAAACGCTTCCTCTCCACCTCCAACCCTTCCGCCTTCCCCTTCCACGCCTCCCTCTCCCCCGTCAACTTCTCCTCCCTCTCCGCCCCCTCTTTCATCCTTTTCTCCATCAACCTCCCCACTCTCCCCAACTCCCCCTCCAATTCTTTTCTTTCCTTCTCAAGCCCTAGAATTTTCTCCCTCAGCCTCATCCCCTCCTCCTGCGTGGCCTTTAAGTCCCTCTCCACCCCTTCCTTTTCCTCCGTGACTCCTGCAAGCACCCCCTTCACTCGCTCCGTCTCTGCTCGCGCTCGTTGCGTGGCGGTTTTTGCAGCTGCGGCATCGGCAGTAGCGGCGGCTAGATCTGACTGTAACCCAGCAATGTCGCTGCAGGGCGGAAGAGGGGCGGGAGGGATGGAAGCGGGGAGGGAGGCGGATGAGTGGGGGGCAAGAGGAGGATAGAAAGGAAGAGTGGAAGGGCGGAGGAGGATGGATAGAAGCGGCGGGGAAGGGGGATGGAAGGGAATGGAATAAGCACGGAAGAGGTGGGGAAACGAGGGGGAGAAGCAAGCAGGGATGAACAGGAAGTACACAGGGAGCCTTGAGACTTCAAGAGTGACAGGAAGAAGAGGAGGAAGAGGTGGTTACATGTAGAGGTGGAAAGGGAAACACAAGTCCTGCACCTCTCATCTGTTTGTTTTCTGAGCGTCCCCTTGGCTGCCTCTACCGTCCCTTGTCCTTTCTCACCTTCTAAGCCCGTCTACAGTGTCATTGAGTGCTGCAATTTCCCTCTCCTTGGCGCCCATCCTCTCCTGTATCTCCTCCATCTCCTTATTCCGCTCCTGCTCGCATGCACCCATGCACCCACGCACCCATGCCGCCATGCACCCATGCACCCATGAACACATCCACACATCCACACACGCACGCATCAAACACGTACACATGCAACCATGCATGCATGCACGCATGCAGACTCATGCATGTCCAATTCACACATGGGGATGCGCACATACACACGCAGCTCGTATGCATCAATGCATGCATCCACCCGAGCACGCACACACATAGTTAAGGGTAGAATGGGAGGACGAGATGATGGGATGATCTCGCATGAACATGGAGTGTTTAGCAAAACAATGGCACCGCACAGCATGGCACGGCATGACATAGTAGGGAATGGCATGGCACAGCATGGCATGGCACAGCATGGCATGGCACAGCACGCCATGGCATGGCACAGCACGGCATGGCACGGCTTAGCCAGTGGCAAGGCATGGCATGGCAAGGCATGGCATGGCAGGCCATACTGCAAAGAGGGCTTCGGATCGTGTGAGAGCGGCTGTGGCGAGCTTGAGGTTGCGCTCTGCCATCTCCGACTGCCATGGTGGGAGGGAGGGAGCAGAGCGCGAGGCATGGGGGGTGAGCAGGGGGCCATGGGGGATCGAAGAGGAGAAAGCAGGGGAAGTTTCGGATTTAGAGGCGCCTCAAAGGGCGGCTGTGGCGAGCTTGAGGTTGCGCTCTGCCATCTCCGACTGCCGTGGTGCGAGAGAGCAAAGCACAAGGCATGGGGGGGGGGAAGGGCCGAGGTGAGAGGAGATGGGGAGACACCAAACGGACGGCAGGGGAGGGGGAAGTGCAGAACAAGAGGGGGGGAACAGCACAATTATGAATGGAGAGGAGACGAGTGAGTGTGATATGGAGATATGGAGAGGGTCAGGAGAAAGCCAGGAGAACATAACATATCTTATGTGTCACAGGTGGCACATAACTCTTCCCTCAAACCCCACCATCCGTCCCCAATCCCTCCCCTCCTCCTTCATCCTATCCCTTCCCCCGTCCTTCCCCCCGCCCTTCCCCCCAGCCTTCCCCCGGCCGCCCCCCTGCCCCTGGCAGCGCGCACCCTCTTTTTGAAGGCGTCTAGATCCGCCTTGGGGTCCCTGCCCAGACTCGTGAGCGTCCACTGCCGTTCGGGAAAGGGGGTGAGCGTGAGAGGGGGGAAGATGGGAAGAGAGAGGGGGTGTTACAGTAGGAACATGAGGTAATATGCAGTGGGCTGTGCCCGCCTTGGGGTCTCTGCCCAGACTCGTGAGCGTCCACTGCCGTGGGGGGAGGGGAGAGGGGGAGAGAGGGAGAGGACGCGCGGGGAAAAGAAAGAAAGGTGGGACGAGAGAGGGGGTGTTATGGTAGGCACATTAACGGCTGTTCAATGGGTTGTGTGTGTCCGCCTTGGGGTCTCGTCCCAGACTCGTGAGCGTCCACTGCCGCCGGGGGAGGGCAGAGGGGGGGGAGCTGGAGAGGGGGAGATGGAGAGATGGAGAGGGGAGAGGGGGAGAAGGGAGAGGGGTTGAGGAGGAAAGGTGAGACGAGTGATGGTGTGTAGCAGTGGGAGCATAAGAGATTTTGTAATGGGTTGTGTGGCATGAGCGCATGTGGCATGAGCGCATGTCGCATGAGCGCATGTGGCATGAGCGCATGTGGCATGAGTGCATATAGCACAGAGGATGTGGGTGCCATGTGGTGCGTGAAGGGACGCACCTTGGTGGGCTTCAGTTTGAGCGCTTGAGGCACCTGGTGGGAGCAACACGCAGGTGACACATGGGGCAGGCAGCACATGGGGCAGGCAGCACAGGGGGCAAGGTCAGAGAGCATGGGGAGAAAAGCGAGAGCAGGTATGGGAGGAGGGTTCGGGCAGTTTTTGGGGTTATAGGGAGACGAATGGCGAAACGGAATGGGAGTGCACGGGTTAGGGAAGCTGAATGGGATGGGACAAGAAGGTTAAATATGGCAACACATTGCAACACATGGCATGGCATGGCATGGCACGCCCTAAGACGACATGATCCATAATGCCTCCTGGCATTCCCATACCATCCCTCCGCATCCCACTCCACACCATTTTCATCCACCTCCACCACACTACCCAAACAACATCGATCCATGGCCCAGCAACACTCACTCACACACACACACACACTCACACACACACACACTCTCTCTCTCTCTCTCTCACACACACACACAGATAGCCCCCCCTTCCCATCCCCCGCCCCCCACAAAAACTCAAGGGTATTTTCCCATCATTCCCCCACCATTCCCTCAGCATACCCCCCAAGTTCCCCGCGTTCCCCCTATCCCCTCATTCGCTCACCAGTCCAGTACTATCCACCTTTCCTCCCCCTGGCCCCTTCAGGGGCGATGCTGCTGCTCCCCCTGCCCCTCCCCCCCCTGCTGCGTGCGCCGCCCCTGCGCCCTCCTCATCTCCTCCCCCTCCCCCCGCGCCCCTGCTCTTGCTGCTGGCCAGTCGCGTCAAAGGGGGCGGAGTGGGGGCAGGGGACGCGGAGGCATGGGCGGACGGCGCAGGGCCAGAGCAGGCTGCAGCGCTCGCGGGGGGTAGGGATGGGGAGAGGGAGCGGAGACGAGAGGAAGAGTTTATTGGGATGGGCCAAAGTGGAAGGGTTGACTTGAGGGAATGAGTGCAACGGGGGGGGGAACACTGGAGTTGCATGGTCAGAAAGATGCTGGTGTGTAGGGTGCGAAGGGAGTGGGGAACAGTAAGCAGAAGGTCGTAGGAAGAGGTTACTAACAGTGACTGACGGTAACTGATAGTGACTGACGGTAACTGATAGTGACTGATGGTAACGGATAGTGACTGACGGTGACTGATAGTGACTGACGGTGACTGATAGTGACTGACGGTGACTGATAGTGACTGACGGTGACTGATAGTGACTGACGGTGACTGATAGTGACTGACGGTGACTGATGGTGACTGATGGTGACTGATAGTGACTGACGGTGACTGATGGTGACTGACGGTGACTGATAGTGACTGACGGTGACTGATAGTGACTGACGGTAACTGATAGTGACTGACGGTGACTGATAGTGACTGACGGTGACTGATAGTGACTGACGGTGACTGATAGTGACTGACGGTGACTGATAGTGACTGACGGTAACTGATAGTGACTGACGGTGACTGATAGTGACTGACGGTGACTGATAGTGACTGACGGTGACAGTGACTGACGGTGACTGATAGTGACTGACGGTGACTGATAGTGACACTGACGGTGACTGATAGTGACTGAAGGTGACTGATAGTGACTGAAGGTGACTGATAGTGACTGACGGTGACTGATAGTGACTGACGGTGACTGATAGTGACTGACGGTGACTGATGGTGACTGAAGGTGACTGATAGTGACTGAAGGTGACTGATAGTGACTGAACGTAACTGATAGTGACTGACGGTGACTGATAGTGACTGACGGTGACTGATAGTGACTGACGGTGACTGATAGTGACTGACGGTGACTGATAGTGACTGACAGTGACTGATAGTGACTGACGGTGACTGATAGTGACTGACGGTGACTGATGGTGACTGACGGTGACTGATAGTGACTGACGGTGACTGATGGTGACTGACGGTGACTGATAGTGACTGACGGTGACTGATAGTGACTGACGGTAACTGATAGTGACTGACGGTGACTGATAGTGACTGACGGTGACTGATAGTGACTGACGGTGACTGATAGTGACTGACGGTGACTGATAGTGACTGACGGTAACTGATAGTGACTGACGGTGACTGATAGTGACTGACGGTGACTGATAGTGACTGACGGTGACAGTGACTGACGGTGACTGATAGTGACTGACGGTGACTGATAGTGACACTGACGGTGACTGATAGTGACTGACGGTGACTGATAGTGACTGACGGTGACTGATAGTGACTGACGGTGACTGATAGTGACTGACGGTGACTGATAGTGACTGACGGTGACTGATAGTGACTGACGGTGACTGATAGTGACTGACGGTGACTGATAGTGACTGACGGTGACTGATAGTGACTGACGGTGACTGATAGTGACTGAAGGTAACTGATAGTGACTGACGGTGACTGATGGTGACTGACGGTGACTGATAGTGACTGACGGTAACTGATAGTGACTGACGGTGACTGATAGTGACTGACGGTGACTGATAGTGACTGACGGTGACTGATAGTGACTGACGGTGACTGATAGTGACTGACGGTGACTGATAGTGACTGACGGTGACTGATAGTGACTGACGGTGACTGATAGTGACTGACGGTGACTGATAGTGACTGACGGTGACTGATAGTGACTGACGGTGACTGATAGTGACTGACGGTGACTGATAGTGACTGACGGTGACTGATAGTGACTGACGGTGACTGATAGTGACTGATGGTGACTGATAGTGACTGACGGTGACTGATAGTGACTGACGGTGACTGATAGTGACTGATGGTGACTGATAGTGACTGACGGTGACTGATAGTGACTGATGGTGATTGACAATGACGGACGGTGATTGACCACCCCTCTCTTTCCAGCCCTCTCTTCCCCTCTCCCCCACCCCTTCTCTCCACCAACTTTTCTGCCCTCTCCCTTTTTTATTCAGACAGTCCGTGTACAGCTGTGGTGGAGGTGATGAGACTACCCACAAATACACGCCTCAATTTCCCTCTCCCACCACCACTCTCCATCACCATCAGTGTCATCACCACCTCCCATGGCATGCCACTGCCATGTTGAGGCACCTCAGGAATAGACGCCTCATCTAGACGCCTCAGAACCAAACGTTAGATGTCCCCCCACCCTCAGCACGCACCATCACCATCAGTGCCGTCACCACCTCCCATCAATGGCATGGCGCTGCCCTCTTGAGACGTCTCGTCTACCTCGAAAATAGCCACCTCGTCTAGACGTCTCGTTAAAAGACGTCTCAGAAATAGACGCCTCTTTAGTAGACGCCTCACTAATAGACGCCACATTAATAGACACCTCAGAAAAAGATATCTTAATTCCCCGCCCACCCACATGCACCATCATCGTCAGTGTCACTCCCACTGCCATCCATCGAGTTTTCCTTTCCGCCTGCCCCCTCCTCCGCCCCTCCCCCTCTCCCTGCTCCCGCTACTCCACCCGCCACTGTGATTGCGCCACTATTATCAGTGCGCTCCGGCTGTGCGTTTGGGAGGGGATTAGGCGGGGAGAGAGATGGGGGGAGGACGAGTGGAGATGAGGGAGATTAGGGGGCAGAAATGGGGGAAGGGAATTGGATGGCACAAGGCAGGCAGGGAGACACAAGCGATGGAGTGAAGGAAGGGGAAAAGAAGGAAGTGCGGAGTGAGGAGAGAAGATTGAGAAGAGGTAGAAGAGGGAGAAGAGGGACAAGGGGCGGAGGAGTGAAGAGGAGGGAGAAGTGCAGAGAGAGGAGAGAAGATAAAGTAAGGAGAGAGGAGACGGAGAGGACAGGGGAGATTAGAGAAGAGAGGGAGGAGAGGAGTGGGCCCTAATCGGAAGTCATATGGCCTTCACACCCATTCCACCTCACCATACCTGCTCGTCTGCTACTCCTTTGAAATCCAGCGCCCGTACCACACCAGCTGCTGCTCCCCTAACCCCTCCCCCTCCTCCTCCTCCTCCTCCTTTCTCCCCACTACCACTCCCCTTCTCCTTCTCCTTTTCCTTCTCCTTTTCCCGTTCCCTGTCCCTCTCCCTCTCCCGCTCCCCCCCAAGACCTGACCGACCGTGCAAGGTGCGCTTTTCAGCAGCAGCAGCAGGGGAGGGACCCGGGGCTCTGGAGTTAGTGGCAGTGCCTGGGGAGAACACGTGGCGTGATGTGACTGGGCGGGTGAGATGGGGCGAGGAAGAACGGGGGGAATGGGGAGAGGTGAGGAGACGAGCAGAGGAGTGGAGGGAAGCGGGGGTGGGGGAGAGGTGAAGGCAGGCGGAAAGGAGTGGATCGGAGTGGAGAGGAGTGGACAGGAGCGGAGAAGAGTAGAAGAGAGAGAAGAATGGGAAGTGCACAAAGAAGGGGAAGAAAGAGCTTGGATTGACATAGAAAAACGTGGAGCACAGTGGGGGCGAGCAGGAAGCGTGTAACATGCAGGGTGGTATCATGCTAGTAATAATACATGGAGGTTCGCAGGAATGGGGCGAATGCAGAGGCCGTAACAGTACATGCCACATGGTAACAGCACATCGCAGAATGGCATGGCAGCAATGGCATGGTATGATGCGTCACCTGCTGTGGAAGCTGTTGACCGGGGTGTGGATGGCGTTCCCCTGGTACAGAACATGCAGGGAAACCGAGAAGCGGAGAGATGGATACATGGAGGGATGGGGAGGTATAGGAACGATAGGTGGAGAGATGAAGAGGTAGTGAGAAGGAGCGAAGGCGAGATGGAGAGATGACGAGAAGAGGAGGAGGAGAGAGAATGAGGGGTCCTAAATGCTGGTGCGCGTTGTTGGTGCAACCCTACGGTTTGCACTCGGCTTGTTGTCCGTGTGCGTGCATGTGTGTGTGTATGGAATGGTATGAGGGCATGGAATAATATATATTTCATGCTTATAATTGTGTGTGAATGTCAAGTCATGATGTCGAGTGTGTGTGTCGAGTCAATAGCGAGTTATCGCTAGACGCGTGTTACGCGGTCGTTTGTGTCTCGCGCGCGGTTTCTATTTTGTCGTGCGCGGTTTCTATTTTGTCCTGTATCGAACGTTCGGCGTGTCGCAGGTGTGTGCAGCAGACCCATCAAGAACTCAAGGATGAGTTTGTGATGAAGAGCCCGAGCCTTGGTGTCAAGCCTTAAGTGATTTCGAAGCTCGCCAAAAGGGTACACCTCAAGATATTGAAGATAGTTACATTACTTTGTGTAGTGTAACATTTCACTTGGTGTAGGCCCTAGTGAAGGGTAGTTTCGAGACCCTTCGTGGTTGGGGACAGTATGGCACTGTTCCACATCACTGTACCTCGGCTCTTGGGGTTTGTAGGAGCTGGGAGTCATTCCCAACTCGTAACTCTTCCTATCTTGTGTTCTAAGACTTTAGTGGCTGCCATAGTACCGTTCGTTCAAACCGACGCTGTGTCGTCAATTCTTTATCAAATCGTGCAATCTAAATTGCTAATTGTAGACGACGTGAAGACGCTCCAGATCCAATTTGAATCAAGTCATTTGCAGCTGTGAGCAGAACGCTATCAACGTTTGAAGCCGCTGTGCAGAAATCCGTCTGTGCTCTCTATCTTTCGTTTTAGGCACATTCAAGCCTATTGTGACTATAACAAGTGGTATCAGAGCCCCTTGGAGCAGTTTCGACAATGTCTGGACCTGAGGAAAGGGGTGGCAGAGGTGCTGGTGGCAGTGGAGAAGCTCAAGCTCAAGGCCAACCCCGTGATTCAGCCATGGCGCCCATGCAACCAAGTCTTGGCCCACCTAGGGATGAGCCTAGGGTGTTTGGGCTTGACAAGTTCAACGGTGACAACTTTGCTGAATGGTCCTTCAAGATGGAGAACATCTTTGACCACTATGACCTGCTGGAGGTGATGGAAGGAACGGAGAAGCGCCCCGAGAACGACCCGGAGAAGAGCCCGTGGGTGCGGAAGAGCGCACAAGGCTATCTCTTACTTGGGCAAGCGTTGGGGAGCAGTCAGATCCGTCACATCGAGCCATTCCAGCGTGAACCAGAGAAAGGACCAAAGGCATGGGCTGCTCTCAAGGGTGTACATGCTCCTGCAACAGCGACGGTAGCGGTGGTGTTGGAACGGCAAATGGCGGCACTACGAATTGAAGAAGACGAAGCGGTTGAAGAAAGGGTGCAGAAATTCTTCGACTTGTTGACGCGGCTTGAGAGAGCTGATTTGAACTACAGTGAGCTCCAAAAGAAGACCAAGTTGTTGGCCTTACTCCCAGAGTCATGGTCCTCGCTCATCATCAACCTTAATCGCGACTTGCCCCGCCTCTCGCTTGAAGACGTGAAACGAGCTATCCTTCAAGAGGATTTCCGCCGCCGTGAGTTGGCGAGTGCGGATGGCGCTGGGGCAGCGAGCATCGGCCGTGGATATGGTCGAGGAAGAGGCAGAGGACGAGGGGGAGGAAGGTTTGGTGGCAGCAACTTCGGCGGAGGCCGCAGGAGTGGCGGTTACGGCAGCGACGACAAGAGCTACGGACGCGGTCGCGGCCGATTCGACGGCGAGTGTCACTATTGCCACAAGAGCGGACACATGTGGCGCGACTGCTACAAACTCCCTGATGGTTGGACCCCTGCTCAAGGCCAAGAGGGTAGAGGAGCAGGAGGAGGGAGAGGACGAGGCCGTGGAGGCCGTGGCGGTCGCGGTGGCGGAGCTGCAAACATGAAGAGCGGAGACAACGACAAGGACCCGAGCGACGATCGATACCCGGGTCTATTCTACTTCGTGTCGACGCAAGTACCGGCTGGTCCAGAGAAGGATGAAGGCTTTGAGGAGCCAGCAGCTGTGGGGAAGGTGACCCTACACCCCCTGGACTATTGGGTGATTGATAGTGGCGCTACCTATAGCATGACACCTCGCCCGGACTTGCTCACCGAACTCGAGCCGTCACCGGTGAAGCATGTCACATCGGCTTTGGGGCAGCGAGCAGAGGTGAAAGGCATGGGCAAGGCCATGTTCAAGGGTGCTGATGGGAAGATGGTGGGCCTCAAGAACGTGCTTTGGGTGCCCAGCCTTGCTGCAAACCTGATTTCCGTGCGGCGGTTGGCAAAGGCCGGCATGGACACGAACTCGAAGGGAGCCAAGACCTACACCGCAAGGCTTGGCGATCGAATTCTTTGGGACCTTCATGAGGACAGGGATGTCTACAACGAGATGTGGCAGATCCCAGTGGTCCCTATGCCTAAGGAGAGGCAAGTGGCAGCAAGCATCAGCACCAAGGATGGAGCGGTCGGTAGCGACGATGGCGCGAACGGTCGCGCTAAGGAGAATGAGCTCAAGAAGAGCAAACCTGGAGGGACCAGCAAGTTCAGTGAACCTCAGGAGAGTGGTGCAGCAACCAAAGAGCAGCAAAAGGGTGAGGAGAACCCAGAGGCAGCAGCGGAGGAGGACTACGGAGAGAGTATGTGGGGCGCTATTGCGAGCGCGGCATTCTCCAATCCAACTTCGGCTACGGGGGAGTGTGATTGGCTCACCTTGCATCGGCGCATGGGGCATGTGGCCCTGCCCATCTTGCAGCAGCTAGTGAAGAATGAGATGGTTGCTGGCATACGTGTGAAGGGGGAGCCCGATGAGGTGCTTGGCTGCCCGACGTGCATTCAAGCCAAGTTCACCCGGTTTCCGTTCCCTAGTTCGGAGGCAACGGCAAAGGCACCGCTTGATGAGGTGGTGATGGACGTGGTGGGCCCCCTGAAGCTTGGAGCTGCTGGAGCTGAGTATTTTCTCACCATTGTCGACGTCTACACCCGCATGACTTGGGTGTACGTGCTGGCCAAGAAGAGCGACGTGGCTGAAACGTTGAAGACGGATTGGTTCCCGATGGTGGAGCGGCAACAAGACCGTCTAGTCAAGTCAATCCGCACCGATCGAGGGGGAGAGTTCCTGAGCAAGGAGTTTGGGTTGTGGCTGAAGAAGAATGGTATTCGGCACTCCCTCACCATGCCATACTCCCCTGCAATGAACGGCATCGCCGAGCGAGCGAACCGCACAATCACGGAGGCGGCACGCGGGTTGCTCATTGAAGCCGGGCTACCCGACTATTTCTGGCCTGATGCGGTGCGGAGCGCGTGTGTGGCCAAGAACAGAGCCTTGACTCATGTGGGAGCAGACAAATGGGTGCCCTATGTGGAGTGGCTAGGAAGGAAGCCAAAGGTGGATATGCTTCGGGTGTTCGGGTGCATGTGCATGGCGCTCGTGCCTAAGCATCTTCGGCACAACAAGCTTGGTGCCAAGGCGGTGTGGGCCGTGCACTTGGGCATGGCTCAAAACAGCAAGTGATGGCTTCTTTGGGACCCATTCACCAAGAAGTTTTTGGTGAGCAGGAACTGCAAGTTCATAGAGAACTTCATGTACAAGGATTGGAAGGCGCAGAATGAGGCGAAGATAGGCGTGCGGTTTGGGGAGGTGAAGAGTTCCGGTTTGGAGCATGTGGAGCTGCCTTTGGAGCTGAGCAGCGGCAGCACAACCACAAGGCAATCCTCCCTTGTGAATGGGGGAGAGGAGGCCAATGATGCAGAGGAAGAAGAGGAGGAGGTGCAGCAAGTGAGCGAGCGTGCACCGTCACTCCCTTCCCGTACTACGAGTGCTCCACGGATTCGAGCCACACCGCAGCAACGCCAAGGCCTTCAAGTCCCTGCAGCTGAGGAGGAAGGAAGGGGGAAGAGGAGAGTTCAACCCCCTAATAGGCTGACCTATGATGCGCCGGGAAAGCAGGGCAAGACAGCCCTGGCCGGAGCGGCAATGATGGTCGGAGACGACGAGGAGAGTGACTACGAGGAGTGTGCCTTCGCGTTCTTCTCTCCGGTGGAGATGCCGGGAGAACCAGCAACTCTCAAGGAGGCTTTGGAGAGTAGTGATGCTGAGGAGTGGAAGAAGGCCATGGAGAGTGAGCTGAAGAGCATCAAGGAGAATGACACGTTTGAATTGGTGGAGCTACCGGAGGGGCGTACGGCGATAACGTCCAAGTGGCTCTTCAAAATCAAGTCGGATGCCGACGGCAAGATCGAGCGCAAGGGGTACCAGCAGAAGGAGAAGGTGGACTTCAAGGAGCTGTTTGCCCCTGTGGTGAAGCCGACGACGCTGCGAACCCTATTCGCGGGAGCCGCCATCAAAGGATGGGTAGTAAAACAAATGGACATCGTAACGGCATTCCTTAACGGCATCCTTGAGGAGGAGATTTTTATGGCGCAGCCAGAGGGGTTTGATGATGGTAGTGGCAGAGTGTGGAAGCTGAAGAAGGCCCTCTATGGGCTGAAGCAGGCCCCTAGGCAATGGTACATGAAACTGCGCGAAGTGTTGGAGGGGATCGGCTTCACTCCCTCAACGGCCGATCACTCCTTGTTCATGCTTGGCGAGGGGGAGCAGAGGAGCTTCATGGTGGTGTACGTGGACGACATCCTGATCTTCTCACCCTCTCCTGACCTTGTGAAGGAGGTGATGCTGAAGCTGCAAGACAAGTTCAAGTGCAAGTCCCTTGGTGACGTGAACTTCTACCTTGGGCTCCACATCGAACGAGACGTGGAGAAGCGGAGCATGCGAGTGCACCAACGGAAGTACCTGGAGGCGTTGGCTGCCAACTTCGGCCAGAGTGAAGGTCATGTGGCTACTCCCTTTCCCTCTGGGTTCAAGTGTGTGAAGAGGCCAGAGGAGGAGAGCGTTGGAGAAGAGGAGAGGCGCCGATTTCACTCGTTGGTGGGCAGCCTCATGTATGCGGCGGTAAACACCCGACCGGACGTCGCGTTTGCTACCGGGCAGCTGGCTAGGGTTGTGCAATGCCCTAATGAGGAGCAGGTAGCAGCTGGAATGAGGGTGGCCAAGTATCTTGGCCAAACACCGACCGTTGGGCTGCAATACTCGGCGGCGGCACAAAGGCGCCAAAAGGGCGCGGATGGTGTTGAACCCGGGCGTTTGTTCCTCACCGCCTACTCGGATGCTTCATATGCATCAGAACCAGAGGACATGATAAGTGTGGGAGGCTTCATATGCTGTGTTGGTGGAGGCCCAACTGCTTGGGAGAGCAAGAAGCAGGTTGACCAAGCTTTGAGCTCGGTGGAGTCCGAGTACATGGCACTCTTCCGTGCCGTACGGGAGATTGTGTGGCAGCGGCGTTTGTTGGCTGAATTGGGGGAGGAGCAGCAAGGACCTACCCCACTGTACTGTGACAGCCAGGGTGCCATTGCTCTTGCTAAGAACCCTGTGTTGCATGGACTCACGAAGCACATGAGGGTGAAGTGGCATTGGACGAGGAGCATGGTAACCGCGGGTGAAGTTGAGTTGCGCTACGTGAAGACCACGGGGCAGCCGGCTGACATGATGACCAAGAGGCTGGTGGAGCAGCAGCATTGGAAGTGTTGCAAGCTGGCTGGGATGGCTCTGAACTGAGAGAGCAACATATCCTAAGGCCAACAATCCGAGGGGGAGTTTGTTGGTGCAACCCTACGGTTTGCACTCGGCTTGTTGTCCGTGTGCGTGCATGTGTGTGTGTATGGAATGGTATGAGGGCATGGAATAATATATATTTCATGCTTATAATTGTGTGTGAATGTCGAGTCATGATGTCGAGTGTGTGTGTTGAGTCAATAGCGAGTTATCGCTAGACGCGTGTTACGCGGTCGTTTGTGTCTCGCGCGCGGTTTCTATTTTGTCGTGCGCGGTTTCTATTTTGTCCTGTATCGAACGTTCGGCGTGTCGCAGGTGTGTGCAGCAGACCCATCAAGAACTCAAGGATGAGTTTGTGATGAAGAGCCCGAGCCTTGGTGTCAAGCCTTAAGTGATTTCGAAGCTCGCCAAAAGGGTACACCTCAAGATATTGAAGATAGTTACATTACTTTGTGTAGTGTAACATTTCACTTGGTGTAGGCCCTAGTGAAGGGTAGTTTCGAGACCCTTCGTGGTTGGGGACAGTATGGCACTGTTCCACATCACTGTACCTCGGCTCTTGGGGTTTGTAGGAGCTGGGAGTCATTCCCAACTCGTAACTCTTCCTATCTTGTGTTCTAAGACTATAGTGGCTGCCATAGTACCGTTCGTTCAAACCGACGCTGTGTCGTCAATTCTTTATCAAATCGTGCAATCTAAATTGCTAATTGTAGACGACGTGAAGACGCTCCAGATCCAATTTGAATCAAGTCATTTGCAGCTGTGAGCAGAACGCTATCAACGTTTGAAGCCGCTGTGCAGAAATCCGTCTGTGCTCTCTATCTTTCGTTTTAGGCACATTCAAGCCTATTGTGACTATAACACGCGTGGCATGTGCGGCCGAAGCGTGCCCACCTCCATGCGAGGACATAAGCATGGGAGCGAGAAAGCGAGCATGACAGGATGGTGCGTAGGACATGGGGCATGGGGTATGGAAGCGTGGCATGAACACATCTTAGCAGATGGGCATAGGACACGGGGCATGGGGAAGATGGGAAGCTGGGAAGATGGGAAGATGGGAAGCTGGGAAGATGGGAAGCTGGGGCTTGTGTCTCACATGCTGCCAACCACTCACCCTGCTGCCACTGTTGTCCTGGAGTCGGGTGTCCCCCGGGGGGCGGGGATTCTGCTACTGGGATTGATCGGTGCCATGATGGACGGCTGAGATGCGTGCTTGGTTGGATGGACGACGGTGGATGGATGCGATTGCTGCAGGAAAGCCGGGCGTGGGATGGATGGGATACACAAGTTTATTAATGAGAAGCACGTTGTAGTTCAGATACATACATACATACATACATACACACACACGCACACACGCATGCACGCACGCACGCACGCACGCACGCACGCACGCACACACGTGATTTTTGAGAATTCTCAAAAGCCACCTGCAGCAAGGTCATGCATCCAAGCATGCATGCGTCAGGCACACCGTATGCACGCGACATCCCCACACATCCCCCAGGCACACACACACACACACACACACACACACACACACACACACACACGTGCGCGCCCGCGCACGCACAAGCACGCAGAGAAGGGCACAAAGTGACGCACCATCTACTATTCACATCACTCGCACCTGCCACCAGCCTAACGGTAACACCGCGCCGCAACTAACACGCACTGATTCGTATAGTCAATGAGTCACCCCAACAACACACCACTACGGCTGTCGCCCTGCGTGCCATGGCCACAACTAGTACATGATTCCCCTCGCGTCACTCGCTCCTCCTCGTTCGTACCTGCCGAGCTGCTCGCTCCATTCACGTAGCTGGACCGTTCCTTTCTCCCCTCCCTCCTCTTCCTCACATCTCTACCCTCCCTCCCTTCCTTCCCCTCCCTCCCATTCCTCGCCTTCTTCCGCTTCTCTTCCTGTCTCACGTTTTGCACTGCCGACGACAGCTTACCCCCTGCCACGTGGCATGCCTGATGGTGCTTCGCGATAAGCATCGCTGCACCCCCCAATCCCCCCACCGCGCCATCTTACCACCCCCCCATGCCTCCATCCTCTCATTCCTCCATTCCCCCATGCCTCCATCCTCTCATTCCTCCATCCCCGCATGCCTCCATCCTCTCATTCCGCCATCCCCGCATGACTTCATCCTCGCATTCCGCCATCACGCCATGCCGCAGTATCCGCGTTGCTGCATGACAGACATTCCCCACGTAGGTGATAATATTCTACGCCTTTTGCGTCCCCAGACCTTCTACCCTCATTCATGCCTACCCTCCTCCTCTTCTTCCTCCTCCTCCTCCTCCTCCTCCTCCTCCTCCTCCTCCTCCTCCTCCTCCTCCTCCTCCTCCTCCTCCTCCTCCTCCTCCTCCTCCTCCTCCTCCTCCTCCTCCTCCTCCACCCCCCTTCCTCCTCCTCCTTCCCCCCTCCTCCTCCTCCCCTCCTCCTCCTCCTCTTCTTCTCCGCCGCTTCCCCAGTCACCCTCACGCGTCGTACGGAACTCAAGCGATGACTACTATTTGTCGCCGCGTTACACCGACGACAAACCTGGCGTCGCACGTACAACACGAGCCTCTCACGTCACTAGCTCTCGCCTCCCAACTGGCCAGTCGCCAATGCCTTCTGAGTCAACTCGAAGAAATCACCAGGTTATAATAGCTTCTCACCTGGCAATCTGCGCGGTCACATTTCTTCGCCTAGTAGTAGGATCTCGGATAGCAAGTCTGGTCGAAACCACCTCGCGTCGCTCTGATGCGGCGTCGCGCCGGGCCGATGTCCCGCCACGTCAGCTTCGCGGATGGACACGTCCTCTACGAACCGCGTCGAGCGTCGGTCTAGAACACGGTAAAAATGCGTATGAGTTAACTCGTTCGCGAACGACGCCGCATCGTTTTTGTTACCAGGGTAACCAGTCATTCGCAGACGACACGCAGTGTCGCTACGAGGACCAGCAATGGTGTGAAGTTATTGATGACCTTGGAGCGGCAATATCGGAGTCAAACTGATACAGCCGCAAGGCTCGCGACACTCGCTAGTATCGCCCAACTCTATAAAGAATGTTTCGTGGCGCTCGTTAGTCGCTGTGTCTCGTCGACACAAGGTGCCAGCGCGTGCGTGGGCGCAAAAGCAGCGTCAGATGCGCCGCAACAGACGCGTGAGGATCATGGTACCGGCCTCTGCGATTGCGTAGTAACAGTCGAGACGGGAAAAAAACGGCGCGCGAGTTACGGTCTACGCTAATCTCAGGGTTATTGGAAAGCTTTACGCAAACTTATTCGGGGCAACGGAGACAGCCGCTCCTAACACCCAGTCAACGCATCCGCTCTACCCCGGGCTTAGGAGAAGATAGCCTATGGAACGCCGTCAATAGCCTATGGAACGTCGTCAATAGCCTATGGAACGCCGTCTATTGACGGGCTGGACGTGCTACAAGTACGTGCAGTCCAACAAACCAGAGGTTCTTAAGGACGTGATTCTTCGTCTCAAGATCGTGCGCGATTGGCGCAGTCGTAGGCGGAAGGTAGCGATGAGACGCGCTTCCGCGCTACTTTCTCGATTGGTCTCTGCAGCTATTCGCGTTATTAAAGAGGAGCATGCGAGACACAAGCCCTACAACTCGAAACGAGCTACTAGGGAGTTAAGATACACGGTGGTCACAAGAAGCTAGAGGGTGTTGGTGGGGAATCCAAGTATGGCGTGCAGGAAGAGTCCTAATCTGGGCCACTGAAGCAGAGACTTGCCCTACACGACGCGGGAAGCCACCGCAATCTGCCTCGCAACCTGCGTCTCGGCCTGTCTCTATCGCGCGCATTCGGTCTCTAAGCAAGCCTGACTGATCTCCCAGCTCTCTCAATGCCCAACGCCCATTCTGGCTATGATTTCCCGAACGGCATATCTCCCCACCTTGGGAATCCCACCCGGCCAGCCTTGAGATTCCATGCGAATCGCGTGCCTTACAAGTGCAGAATTCGTATTTCGTGGGCGAAGGGACATGGGGGATTGGAAAGCAGAGCTGGGTTAGGTACGGCGCGGCTTTCCCAAGGCCAGCAGCACAGCCCAGCGAGAGGCTCGAAAGTGACAGGGTACGGCGGACCCATCGTTTCTGGGCCCATCACCCATCATCCAGTTTCGCGCCTCGAGGTTGGGGTGACTGGCGGGGAATGGGTGCTTGGGCCCCGTGGGAGGCCGATGAGGGGAATGAATCGGGGGGTTCTTTATTTGAGTGCGTGATCTGTGGGTTGTGAGGAGAACATGTGTCACTATGCCCCAAGCATATTTGACCTGTGACAGCGCCGGAGGTTATTTTCTGTGTCACCTTTTCTCGTCTCGGTATGACATTCGGAGCTCTTGTTGACATGAAATTTTGAGTGATTTCATAAGTGGATGGGAGTCAAATGATCCGCAACTCGATCTGTAGGAAATTAAATAAGCCCGGAGAGTTCGAGAGGAAGAGGGGGGGAGTGGCTGTTTGACCCCGCCCAGAACATAGACATGACGCAGCGCGCAGGGAAGGGACAGTAACAGCCTTCTTGAAAAAGGGCGCGAACCACGAGCCGCTGAATGATTCAAATTGATGGGGTCTGCTCTGCAAATTCAGACAGGCACTTTGAGCTCGACATAATAAAGCTTCACGACTAACTGTAAGAACTACAACCAACTTCTCAGATATATGCGCAATGTTACAGAAATGTTCAACAAGGGGTCACATGCTATGACGCCTAGTTATTGAGGCTTAAAACCCGATTCTAGAATGGTGTTTTTCAACTTCAAGATTCTTGAACTTGACTTCGCCAAATAACATGGTAACCAGGTTGAGAAACCTGTTCCCTCGCGACCTACGTAGAAGTGAGTTGGTCGGCCTTGTGGTGATTGGCCAGAAGCTCCACAGCCAAAACAATGACGAGCCTCGCCAAAAAACCCAAGACATCAAATATCTGTTCACGCTTACGGAAACTTGAAAGTCCAAGCTACCTTTCTAGACTCGTTGCGTAGAGAGCTGCATAGCCCACTATCTCGTCATTACCTAACAGTAGTCACGCCCACCTTCTCCATGCTCAGACTTTAGTAGCACGTACAAACGGTCCTTCCCGTCAGATCCGCTCACACCAAATCGGAGCTCCATAGCCCACGTCAATTACAGAAATCTAGCGAGCGTGATCGCCAAGCACCTACGGCCACAGAGATAGCGCGTTTGGCAGCACGCACACCAGGGTGTCTCAAAGTAGTCCAGAGCCATCGCGACCGTCTCGAAGTATTCTCACTACGGCAAGCACCCCTTTCGTACAAAACACTCTCACTGATTAGCCGTCACTCAAGGCATGATTATATGGCGCTCACTCACTCCGGTTACTTGCTCACGAGCACCCACGGCTCTATCATTCCTATCGCTCACAAGCGCACATGTGACACTCACTCCCGTTCCGCACTTAGCCCCATCGCGCACTCACTCCCATCGCTCAATAATGTTCATTGCGCACTCCACTTCTTCGCTCACTCCCAACTCGGCACTCATTCCCGTTCCGCACCTACCTTAGTCGCTCACCCACTCCCGTCCCGCCCTCCTCCCGTCCCGCACTCCTGTCCCACACTCCTCCCGTCTCGCACTCATTCTCGTTCCGTTCTCACCCCCGTTGCGCACTCCCCCATTGCTCACACACCCCCCCCCCGCCCCCCGCTACACTCTCATCCCGCGCTCACTCTAATCCCGCACTCGCTTCCCGTCGCGCTCACCTACCCGCTCTCGCTCCCCATCGCGCTCACTCTAATGCCGCTCTCGCTCCCCGTCGCACTCACTCTGATCCCGCACCCGCTCTCGTCGCTCTCTCGCTCCCACCACCCACTCGTCGCAGGCACATGTCCCTCACACACGACGCACATGACTCACCCACACATCTCCCCCTCGCCCCTCTCCCGTCCATCTCCTCTCCTCTGCTTCCTTGCCCCTCTGTCCCCTCTTTCCCTTCCCTCATGTCTGCCCTGTTGCTAACTCATTTCCATCGTCCTGCCTGTTGCCCCCCTTCGCATCGCCTTCCTTGTCGCTCACGCGCTGCTCCCCCTCCTGTACGCGCTTCTCTCCACTCTCACCTGCGCTGCTACCCCTCCGGTACGCACCGCTTTCCCACTTCCCCGTGCTGCTCCATTTCCCTCCGCGCTGCTTCCCCACTTCCCCTCCCACTCCCCTTGTCATTCCTTCCACTTTCCACATGCCCACTTGCATCTACTTCCCTTCTCCTCCTTTCGCTCTCTTCTTGTCTCCACCCTTCCGTTTATGCCCGCTTTCCTCCATTCTTCTGTACCATTCCCTCCATTCCTCTGCCCCCTTCCCTGACTCCTCTTTCCCTCCCCTCCTTCTCATCACTCTTTATTCCCCTCCCCTCATGCTCTCCGCCCTTGTTCCCACACCCCACCCCTCCCCGTCACCCACACACGTCGCAGGCACATATCACTCACACACGACAAACTCAATGTACTCACACATGTTCCCCCCACCCCTCTTCTCAGCTTCCCACGTGCCCATTTCCTCCACTTTCCCCTGCCCGCCGCCCTTCGCTCGCAACTCACTCGTTTTTTCCCTCACCTCTGCTCCTCCGCCCATATTCCCACACCCCTCCCCTTCCATCTATTTGCACCTCCTCTGTTCCACCCTTCAAATGTCCTCCCTTCTCTTACTGAACTCTCTCCTCCTTTCTCTCCCCCACTCTTTTCTTTCTTCTCATTGCATCCCTTCTCTCTCTTAGCCTCTCCTCTCCTCCCTCTCTGCCCCTCGTTCTCCTCTTCTCCTCCCTTCCCTATTTGCCCCTCTACCTTGATGTACCCTCCCATTTCGCTCCTTTCCCTCTCTTCTGTTTTCCCCCCTTTCCTTCCTTGTCCTCTCATCCCTTCCCTTCCTTGTCCTTGTCAAACTATATATATGCTAGTTCTGTGTAGGTTATAATGGGGTAGCCCATATGGGGTACAACCCAATGTTAGGGTTAGTACTTGTACCCACAATGCTTTCAATGCAGTCATTCTAGCTTCTCATTCTGACATGGTTTCAAAGCAGTAGGTCCGTAGGATTTTTTTTTTTTGGGCCCACCATTCCGACTGCGGTTACCGCGTTACCCCACTGCCCTACCCCGCGTCGCGCTGCCCCGCGCACGCCACCTGCGCGCTGCCCCTGCTGGCCGCGTGCCACTACTGCAGCGCGCGTTTTCTCTAGCGCGTTGCCCCGCCTGTAGCCCCGCGCGCCGCCTGCCCCTGCCGCGGCTGCCTGCTACACCCCGTCGTGCCACCCCGCGCCCTGCCCGCCAGCTGCCTGCGCTACCCGCGCGCTGCTGCTCCTGCCCGCACGCTGCGTTTCCTGCCCGCGCGCTGCTTGCCTTGCCAGCGCGCTGCCTGCACAGCCGGCGCCTTGCCCGCGCACTGCACGCCCTGCTCGCGCGCTGCCCGCGCGTCGCTGGCATCGCTTGCGCGCTGAACCTAAGGCTTGCCCTGCCCACGCTCTGCCTGCACAGCCAGCGCGCGGCCCTAAGCGCCCTGCCCGCGCTGCCCTGCGCCCAGCCCGCCTTGCCTACGCTGCAGCCATTGCTACGCTGCTGCTGCTACCAGCGCCGCACTGCCCCGCCGTGCCCGAGCCGCGCTGCACCGCCCGAGCCACGCCGCACCGCCCGAGCCGCGCCGCACCGCCTGAGCCGCGCCGCGCTGCCTAGTTGCTTGGCAGATAGGTTTCTACTACTGCACTGCTGCTTCTACTATTGCTGCTGCTAGTGCTACTGCTGCTTGCCTGCAATCGCTCTGCCCTGCCAGTCCCGTGCCAGCAGCTATGGCCACCCTCCGCGTTTTGTCGTTCAATACTGAGGGCCGCCCGATTTCTTTTGAGACCTGGCTCGATGACCTGCAGCTGTTCCTTATGAGCGATAGCAAGGATAATGTCTCTC